ATGCTTTAGTGAACTTAATATAGCAAATAATTCGACGCCAGTATATGTTCCCTCCCCTGTAGTAGGTGGGTGTAATGTGAACGAGAAGAGTAAATGACCAGAACCTTGTCTAAATTCAATATCCTCTGTGTCAGGAACACGTTCGAATGTGAATGATATTCTTGATCTAAGTATTCGGAAAGCATGGCATTGAGCTTCAATCATTCTTTCCAATCCGCTTTCGTGAGATATCTTTTTATCAAATCTAGGGGATGTAATTGATCTTTCGGCTGGAACGGAAGTTTGTGTACCGAGTGTGTATGTAGAGTATGGCCACCAAAATGTTATTGAATCAATGGCAAATCGAAGTTCCGAAATTATTATTTCGCTAAATAATGAAGCAATATCCATAGTTCGTTGCAGGAATCCATTGTTACTTTTAAATGTTAATCGAAAAGTATCTTGCTCAGTGGATTGAATGTTTGCAAGACACATTATAGGATATTGAAATTTTCTAATATCAATTTCTTTAGGTTTTGATTCTTCTATAAGTAGGGGATAATGGAAGTTTGTTTGTTGTTTTGAATTCTTATCATATTCATCAATATAGTAGTCAGCCGGAATCAAATAAATATTATTTCTTCCAAGTACGAAAAATACAGCTATTAAAAGTTTTTTTTCATTTTGTTTTTTCTCCCCATCTTTCAATGATTTTAATAAGACCTTATAAACCAACAAATTTTCCATGCTTTCATAAACCCAATCTTCAAGTGAAATTAATTGTTCTATTATTTGTGACTTTGGCATGGGTGTTATATATGGTCCAATTGGGTTGATATTTCGAATTGCGAGTCGTAAGTTAGAAAGTAATTGTTGATGTTTTTGAAAATCTGGGGCTGTAATTGTAATAGAATCATGCTTCCTTGATGAAGAAACAAAATCTATTCTAATATATGGATCCGGTATGAGTTCCTCTGATATAGCATATACTGAATCCAACATTAGAGCTACATGCTGAGCGGGTAATAATTTTATTATATTTTCAGATGACGCATTTATATCTGAATCGTAAATATCATAGAAAACTTTAGCAGCCTTCTCAGCGTTTTTAAAGTGACACAAAAGTTCTTTTGTTAAGATGAGATAGTTGTTAAAAGATAATTTATTCGTTGAATTCCATTTCGCAACTTTTAATTTAAATAAAATTTGTTTATTATTTTCAAATATAAAATCATTAATGACATTTGGCAATTTGGGAGATTTGGGAGATTTGGGATCTTTTGATTTTTTTTGTCGATTCAATGCGTCTTTTAATGTACTAAAATTAATCAACTTTGCAAAAGTTGAAGAAGATAGAATGTTTCAGAGGAATAAATCTTATTACATTTAGCAATTTTTTCTGTTAAAGTAATTTAT